AGGAATATACCACAAATGGGATGGCCTTAACAAACAGGAGTTTATTCTTACAATTTAGAGGCTTTAAGTCCAAGTTCAAAGTGCCAGGCTCTTGGGGCTGGGTGAAAGCCCTTCAACCTTGGGGTCCAGCTCTGCCTCCTGCTCCCAGCCCACTGGAGCTAGGGGCATTTCTCTACTCAGATAGCTGCTGACTGCTGAGGCTGAGAAGCCCCAAGGTTGACAAGTAAAAAGGCACAGTCCCGATATTGCCAAAACACACGGTAGGCCATTAATTCAAGTCCATTGTAAGTCCCAAGGTCGGTAGAGCATAGCAGGCTGCTGAGCAGTGACACGGCTACATGCAGGATCCAAGCATGGCATAGCCTAGAGACCTTCCCAAGGCTTCTCCTTATGTACAGGAAGCAGCCCACATCCCAAAGGCAGCTACTCAGCTGCTTGTGGTAGATCCCACCGTGGAGTTGATTGCCAGTCTCATCATGAGGAATAACTACCACCAGCTGCCCAGCCACTCAACCAGGCCCAGCCAAGCTGACGCACAAACTGAACTACCACAATATGTTCAAAGCAGCACTATTCAGCCAAAAGGTGAAAACAACCCATACGTCTATCAATTGAAGAATGAATGAATAAAACGTGATGTATCCATACAATGGAATATTAATTATATAGCACTAAAAAGGAATGAAGTACTGATATATGCTATAACATGGATGAAATTTGAAAACCTGTTGCTAAGTGAAATAACCAGTTATAAAAGACTATATATTGTATGATTCTATTTATGTGAAATGTCCGCAATAGACAAATCCATAGAGACAGGAAGTAGATTAGTGATTGCCAGAGCTTGGGGAGAAGAGAGGATTAGAAATGACTGCTAATGGGTTTCTTTTTGGAATGATAAATGTTTTAAATTAGTTTGTGGTGATAGTTGCACAACTCTAAATATACTGAAAACTACTGAATTTCTACAGTTTATAGAGTGATTTGTATAATACGTGAATTATGGCATGTGGAGAATACATGTTTAAAAAAAGTAAAATGGCAAAATAGGAGATATTTGTTTACTAAAACACATTATAATTTTTATGTCATTCAATATATTCAATTCACAATAAAATCTATTTAAGGGTTTACAAAAACAGAGAGTGGAAGCAAGGAGACCAGTTAGAAGTATTTCAACAAGAGATGATGGTGCTTTGATTAGGTAGGTAATAGTGAAAATGGTGAGAAACCTCATCTGGTGATGTTTGGAAGGTAGAGCCGTGTCAAGACTTACTGATAGACTGGATGTCATGTGTGAGAGAAAGAGATCAATCAAATGTGAGTATCTAAAACAAGTGATAACTAGGTATTTATTTAGAAAATTCTTAAAGTCTTCAATAAGTGTAATGAAATTTCTGTTTTTTATTCTTTAAAGAATTCGCCACCTTCCTCTTAGTTATTACTGCTCTTACTGAAGAGGAAGTACGTAAAGAATGAGTAACCTTTTCACTTTTTCTTTATTTTATTTCATTAAAAACAATTTAGGGCACTCTTCACTGTGTGCAGGGCATACAACTGCTAGGTTAGTTTGTTCTTCTAAATTGGTACTATTAAAGGGTGTTACCATGAAATAAGCTGTTTCATCTACACTTTTTCCCTTTCCTCTGCAGTTCGTTCTATTGGCTCTATAGCACTTAGAAAAGCAGAAGACATTGACTTCAAGTACCACTTTGACTTCTTTAGTGTGAACTTCAATGAGGAACTGGTGGCACTATATGGTGGAAGTCTTCAGAAGCAGACCAAGTTTGTACATGAATGCATTAAAACAATTCTGAAACTCTATAAGGTAAAAAAAAAAAAATAAATAAGCAGACAATAGTAATACAACCCAGAAACAACTTTTTTTTTTTTTTTAAGATTTAGTACATTTTAAATCTTGTTTGTTTATATGGAAATTGAAACAAAGGTGGCACTAAGTTTCTTTGTGGGAATCTGTTGTTTTGAATTCTGGTGGTTTTTGAAGTTTAAATTGAATTTATGAGAAAACTTTCTTGTGAATTTAGAAAAATAATTTCTGGCCAAAATGGTGGTTTAGGTAGGCACACCACACCATCCCTCTATAGCAAAGACCAAAGAAACTGAGTGAAACAGAAACAGAAGATAATCCTTGAATCTTGAGCATCAAATGAAAAATAAAGAACTAGATTGAACACTGATTGGAAGAGGAAACTGACTGAAAACAGTGAATCAGAAGAGACAGGGTAGAGGGACCCTGCCAGCCGCCAGCCTGACACAGTGGGACCATCATGAGACAAAGCAAGCAGCAAGCCCAGGTGAGGCACACAGAAGCCAACATAGCAGAATTCCCAATGGAACATAGAATAACTGTGTAGACATACCTAGAGTGAAACAGTATCATCATTGCTGGCTGCGGCCAATGGGAAGAGTCCCGGCACCCTTGCCCAGTGACTAGAGGAGCATGCTCCTCCTTCCTGCATCTTCCTGGTGATTAAGCTGGACACTTCCCACCCTAATCCCTGCAGCCCTGACTGCCAGGGACCACACCCCCAACTGAGCCCTGACAACCATCCTCTTCCCCTGCCCCAACTGCTGCCACCCCTTCCTCTGCCCAACAGCACCCTCACACACCCACCGACCCAGCCAAGCAATGGTAAACCACCTGGGTGTGGCACTAGATGCTCACCCTTTCCACCCACTGACCCAGCTGAGCTCCCTCCGCATTCATCCTGCCTGGTGAGAGATGGCAAAAGTGTCATGCCACGTGTACCTGTCCACCGTTCCTTCCCTCTTTTCCCACTCACCTCTTAAACCACTACTACCCCAGCCCAGCAAGGGGCTGCAGGTGCACAACCTTATGCATGCTGGCCCACACTCATACCCCCAACATTGCTGTGAGGGTTGCAGCAACACAGCCATGTACACACTACCCATCACTCACCCCATTTGGTGGGGAGACAGCAACAGTGCCCTTACTAACCAACCACACCAGCCACACCTGCCATCCAGCTGACTCAATGAGTGACACTGCCTGCTCCTGTGTCACTGGACTGACAACAGTGGCCAGTGCCCACCTAACCTGCCCACAGCTACCTTTGCAAGACCAGCTAACAGATACCCACACGCCTAGCCATTACCCTACCTACTTGGAGTTAGGTGGCAAGTGTTCCATTGTGGCCAGACTAGTGACCATAATGGCATGCCTATCCCATCTGCCCAGATATATCAAAACAAAACATAACAAAAAATTAAGACATAGCAAACAAATATACAATTAATAAATATAATAATAACAACACCTTAATGCTGCAGAAACAATAAACAATGTCAAATCACTTAAAGAAGCAGGACTAGATGGCTCCAGCAAGTGACCTAAGTAAAGAACAAGAAAATCTCCCTGAGGAAGAAATGGCAATGGAACTACCAGATAAGGAGTTCAAAAGACTTATATATAGGGCCTTCTAAGAGATAAGGAATACAGACAAAATCAAGGAAGACACAGACAAAACTGGAAAAATTTAGGAAAACAACACAAGAACAAAATGATAAAAAGAAAACAAAAACAGCAAGTAGAAACACAGAAGATTAATATTACAGAAATAGATAATTCATTGGAAGGATAAAGGAGTAGGATTGAATAAGTGGAAGTCAAAATCAGCAAAATAGAGGACTAATCCTTTGATATCACTATGCTGGAAGAACAATCTGAAAAAAAGAATGAGGAGAAATGAAAAAATCCTGAGTTTCATGGAACACCATCAAGAGGAATAATTTATGC